CAGGCAAAGCAGGATGTCCTGTCTGGGTGAACCTGAGCTTGTAATCCTGGATGTTCAGCTTTTCAAAGGCGGCCCGGTGGCCGGCGATGTCATAGATCATGCCGAGATTGGCCAGCACCTTGCGACTGAGCAACAAGGGAACCTCCCCGTTCACGATTGAAGCCCTGACGGCTATATGCTTTCCGGCAACGTCCAAGTAGATTGTGGCACCATAGGTCGCCTTGAAGACCCGGCTTGCCCCAAACCTGAACTCTTCCTCACAAGGCTCCAGTTGGGGATCCAAACCAGCTTGCCGAGCTGCAACGAGGTATGCTTCCAGCCAGGGCTGTCCGGCAACAGTCTTGCTACAGGCGCAGTCGGTGATAGCCAGGAGTCCTTCATTCACGTTGGCATCTCCGAGCTCGTATGCAACATGAACCACATAGGCTTCACGGGCTCCTCGTCCAGAAGGACCGCTGGGATTGCCGAGGTCCTTGGGGCCGCCTTGGCTAGCATTATTCTCGAGGGCGCTCTTCTGGCCTTGATTAAGCAGACACTCGGGGTCACGATGCCAATGTCCTCGGCGCTTACATCCGGCACAAAAGCTTCGAGACTTGGCCAGAGCAAGTCGTTCTGCAGAGGTTCCAGGAAGGCCCTTGTCGGTCTCGATGGTCTTGCCGCGAGAGGCGTCCTTAATCTTAGCCCGCACATTCTCATAAGCGACATAAGCCTCGTGCAACTCTGCAGCAAGCTCTTCAGGAATGCCGTCCTCTTCGAAGTCGAAGCCGTCCTCGTCGATGTCTTCTAGATCGGTATGGAAAACTCCTTTGACACGTCCGCGAGTATCTCCAGAAAAGTTGGGTTTACGAAACCCCCAAGGTGCCCGGAGACTCTTTTCGTGCAATGCGGCAGCCCTCTGGAGTCTAGCGGTGTTGTACTCGTTGTTCACACTGGCTGCAAGGAAAGCTCCTCACTACTCGAAAGACTCAGTGCATTCAAATAGGCCCAAGCCTTGGCAACTTCGGGAAGTCGACATTCGATCTCAAGAAGTCGAGTATGGGCCCGATCGAAGGCGGAGTTGAACTCACGGACGGTCTGTCCAGGCTGCCTCTTCAGCCGCTTGAAGAACTGCGTCAAGGCTTCAGCAATTTTGCTGACTTCTATTTCTTGATAGCGCTCTTGCACCCATCGTCTAAAGACCGTCATGCCCTGAGTTGACGCCAAAGTCTCTACATCCAGCTCTTCAGCCTCGATCCATGCCCTTCCCTGGAGGTGTTGATATAGTACCAATGCCCGCTGCTCCTCCGGGAGTCTCGTGACCTTGGTCCAAGCATCCACCTGACGAAGGTAGGAACGGGCACTCGCTCCTAGCTCGTCGCCAGAAGACTCGGCGTTGAAACTGGGCACAGCCATCTTTTCACTAGGCGCCGCTCGCCGTCCTGTCTCATAGGTCTCGGGCTCCGTACTGGTAGCTCTGGGTCGTGCTGTGGGGGGAGTCGCCGTCCATGCCG